CTCCGGGCTGTGGAGATCAGAGATGGCCTGATGAGCTGACCTGGGATCAGTGGCCCACATTTATTGTGAACAAAGTGGAGGCCAGATGAATTGATCAGAGACCAGGGGCTACGTGGACGCCTTTATACGGGCCAGTCACTGGTGCTAGTCAACTTCCTGTCTCATTTCACTAGACACAAAATCAAAGTGGGGGAAATTATTCTCCAACCTGGCAACTTTTTAAAAAAATCTTTTTTCCTCCAGCTGGAAATGTGGAGGCTGTTACTGGCAGCAGGCTTGACAGGAGTCTCTGAAAAGTGGGACCTTGGACGCCTATCGGACAATTTCAGAGACACTCTTGAGGGTGTAAACTAATCTGAGAGAAATATAACTGTGTTTATATTGTAACATGAATCTATTAATAGGTAAAACTGTGAGAATCAGAGGAAATCATGTTTTTGAAGAAAAAAAAAGAAGGAATAAAAAAAATGGAAATAAAGCTGTTATGACACGTTTTTGAAAAAAAAAAGAAGGAATAAAAAATGGAAATAAAGCTGTTATGACAATTGAGTGCATATTACTCCCCCACTCCCATGCTATTTTTAATCTAATATACAGTATATTCATGTTTTAGTTGTAGTGAGAACACATCAGTTCCTTAGTTGCATTTTTTTAAAACTCACTTTAAAAAGCAAGTTTGTAAAATCAGAATTTAAGACGTTGTTTGGTTTAGTAATACTACATTTCGAATGAAAAAAGACACAAAACGGTTTAGTAATAATACATTTCGAATGAAAAAAGACACAAAAACTAACTGTAAAATTTTACATTTATTTTTAGCTCACCTTTCGTAGAAAACAGCGCAGTGGCGCCGTTTAAACTTATTCTTTCTTTTCCAGCCTTCCGCCAGTGAACGCCGCCGCATCTGATTGACGTCAGTTAGCGAGTTCGGCGAGTTACCGTTAGCATACCGCATCGGAGCCCAACAACACCGACAAACTGCCGTCCTTTGCGCCATCACAGAAACACCATCACTGTTATTGTTTACGAGGGGATGAACCGTTCACACATTGCAGATTTACGTTCGAGTTCTAACTCCAGAAAACAATTTAAACTGGCCACAATTTTATGGCGCGAGATTTCTTCTTCTACACGTTTCCATGATATGTAATTACTGCACCCTGGATTGAAGGGTGGTACTGCAATCGTCACGAACATATTGTCCACTCAGACGTCATTCGTGTTGTGATTGCTTGAACCGGGACAAATACAAATTACCGTGAGCCTCCTGATATACATTTAGCTCTTAGCTTTTGCTGTCAAAACTACTGTAGTTTTTGCTCATAAATCTCTATTTTTATTTTTTACCGACTTCAGACCGTATTCCTGGTTAATTTGAAGTGAGAAAATGACTTAGGGTAGGACCTTTTTTTGTAGCGCCAGCTAGCTTTAGCTAGCTATACTTTAAATAAGTCGTGGTAATGATGTGTAGATGGTATTCAACAAATAGTAATGTACATTCCTGTAGATACACAAGACCTAGTTTCTTTACTGTTTGTGTTTTAGCAGTACTTCATGCTAAAGTTGAACTTAAACCGACAATCATTGCTGCAAAAGGGTTCTTTACTCCTCTGATTTAGCCTGTGTTCACGCAGCTATTGTGTCACGTTTCACCAGCTGACCATTTATCACTTTGCCCAAACAAATGTTTTGAAACCGTCTTTCAAACAATACAGTGTGTTAGCGCTATAAATATCACCACTCTGTGTTCAATAACAAGTGAAATGGAAACCCACAGAGTTTATCATCTATCACTCTCGGGCGCCGTTTGTCCGTGCTCTGCTAGACGAAGTTCCGAGCCCAAGTTTTCCCCCCGAGTAAAGGTCATTAGGCAGCAGTGGACTCGTTGGTCGTTGAATCTTGCCTCGGCCCCAGCTGTTTCCCAGGTGTTTGGATGTGTGTGGCTCCACCATCTTGTCTTAATCGCAGCCTCCTCAAAGAATTGGCAAGACTTCCAACAAAGCTGCTCATTCCTTTACAGTGGGGTAAAGACACACAAACCACCACAGCGTAGCCAATAGCCAGGTGTAGTCAAACATTAGTCAGTCAGAAGGACAAATGAAGAATAACACTTCACTGAAAAGCAGATCTCACATCAGCGTTTTCCATGCGCCGACAGAGATGAGTCGGATCCAAACACAGACCTTTAAAGTTCACGTCTGTCTGACAAAACAAAGGCCATTTCTCGCTCCAGTTCTTTTTATGTTGCCAGGTTAAATGCAACACTAAAACAACTGGCCTGCAGTCGGGGGATCTGACTGAATTACCCCTCCCAACTGCTGGCACCACCATCGCAAATCTGCCATTTCGTAAACACAGCCTCGCCGTGGCAGACAGCGAGCCACATGACGCCTTCCAAGTGCAAGTTTCAACAGCTAGCTGGGTGCACAAGCACACCTTTTTCCCCTCATGTTGAGGAGGTGAGGCCTGAAACAACAAACCACCGGGTGAGAAGAGCAGGGGGATCAGGGAGGGGGGGTGGGAGGGGAGGAAGAGGAGGGGGGGTGAGTCATCCTGCAAACAGAGACACATTAGTTTTGGCTAAGAGACGTTTCTAACCATACTTTAACTATGACAGTTATTGTTCAACCTTGTTTATATAAACCTGTTGAGTGGATTGTTTGTGGTTTAGCATTTAAAAACAAACAAACTTTAGTATCAATAGTTGGACGGTTGGACACATGGCAGACGTTTTTTTTGCGAGCAGATCATGCATGAGATAATATTGTACACGTACTGCATATAATTAAAGGATAAGTTCAGATTTGTATCACTCCGTCTTAACTTGTCAGTGCGTACACAGTGAAGTAGATTGGCTGCTGTAATCCACTCAGGGATAAAACAGGCAAACACGCATTGTGATGCTGAGAAGAAACTCCTTTAAGGTTTCGGTCTCCTCAGTTGGTAAACAGACGGAAGGTGCCGTCGAAAAGATCTAAAAATGTGGAATTCAAGTCGACGATTTTTATGCTTTTATAAGGAAGGGCAGTGTAATCCCCTCATCAACCACTGAAAAAAAACCCCCACAATATTCCCTGATTGACCCAGGCAACCATATAAATACTGACTGTTAAACATCATCACTACTGGTGAAGGTCGAGGTGCATTAACAATTCATTGAAAAAGTGAGTTCCACTTTATGGACTAAAAAGTATCTGTTAATTTGATTAAAGGTCACTATATTTATGTACTATGAAAAAAAAAACAAGTAAATAATTATTCAACAGATTTTAAAACAGAAACATGTTTAATAGAAGAGCTCACCATTACACTGAGAAATCCAATATTTTTTTTCAAAATAAAACACATTGTATTACAATATTTGAAATATTTTTGTTTTTTTTGTTTTTGTTGAAACAGATGGCTGTGCGCTCTGAGCAGATTTTTTTTTTCTGTCAAAAGTTCGTTTCAACCTCCACGGGTGAGTAAGTTTTGCTTTTATAAAATTTGTAAAACCCTTTTTTGTTGTACTCTGTCTTGTTAATATTATTGGTGTATAATATTTAAAACATTTGTCTCTGTTTGCTGTTATTAATGGGTGGTTTTTTTAATGTAATCAAATTTCATTTTCAAATCAAAGCTTAAAAGTCCTTTACACAAAATGCAAATTTGTGAACGTGACGTCAGGAAAAACTCGTGGCACCTTTGGTGAATGTAGCAGCACACATTAAGTTGTTTTTTTTATTATTGTTACCATACTGTATATGTGCAAAATAATGCTTCATTCAAAGCTGAAATAACTTGAAAGGCAAGGCGCGGAATTCTCACACAACACGTAAGCAAAAATAATGGAATCTGTTTATATACAATTTACAAAATATAATAAATTTCTTATATAAAAATGTATATAGTCATTTATTGTTACACACCAAGAGGAGGGGGGGTGAGTCATCCTGCAAACAGAGACACATTAGTTTTGGCTAAGAGACGTTTCTAACCATACTTTAACTATGACAGTTATTGTTCAACCTTGTTTATATAAACCTGTTGAGTGGATTGTTTGTGGTTTAGCATTTAAAAACAAACAAACTTTAGTATCAATAGTTGGACGGTTGGACACATGGCAGACGTTTTTTTTGCGAGCAGATCATGCATGAGATAATATTGTACACGTACTGCATATAATTAAAGGATAAGTTCAGATTTGTATCACTCCGTCTTAACTTGTCAGTGCGTACACAGTGAAGTAGATTGGCTGCTGTAATCCACTCAGGGATAAAACAGGCAAACACGCATTGTGATGCTGAGAAGAAACTCCTTTAAGGTTTCGGTCTCCTCAGTTGGTAAACAGACGGAAGGTGCCGTCGAAAAGATCTAAAAATGTGGAATTCAAGTCGACGATTTTTATGCTTTTATAAGGAAGGGCAGTGTAATCCCCTCATCAACCACTGAAAAAAAACCCCCACAATATTCCCTGATTGACCCAGGCAACCATATAAATACTGACTGTTAAACATCATCACTACTGGTGAAGGTCGAGGTGCATTAACAATTCATTGAAAAAGTGAGTTCCACTTTATGGACTAAAAAGTATCTGTTAATTTGATTAAAGGTCACTATATTTATGTACTATGAAAAAAAAACAAGTAAATAATTATTCAACAGATTTTAAAACAGAAACATGTTTAATAGAAGAGCTCACCATTACACTGAGAAATCCAATATTTTTTTTCAAAATAAAACATATTGTATTACAATATTTGAAATATTTTTGTTTTTTTTGTTTTTGTTGAAACAGATGGCTGTGCGCTCTGAGCAGATGTTGTAACAGATGGCTGTGCGCTCTGAGCAGATTTTTTTTTTCTGTCAAAAGTTCTTTTCAACCTCCATGGGTGAATAAGTTTTGCTTTTATAAAATTTGTAAAACCCTTTTTTGTTGTACTCTGTCTTGTTAATATTATTGGTGTATAATATTTAAAACATTTGTCTCTGTTTGCTGTTATTAATGGGTGGTTTTTTTAATGTAATCAAATTTCATTTTCAAATCAAAGCTTAAAAGTCCTTTACACAAAATGCAAATTTGTGAACGTGACGTCAGGAAAAACTCGTGGCACCTTTGGTGAATGTAGCAGCACACATTAAGTTGTTTTTTTTATTATTGTTACCATACTGTATATGTGCAAAATAATGCTTCATTCAAAGCTGAAATAACTTGAAAGGCAAGGCGCGGAATTCTCACACAACACGTAAGCAAAAATAATGGAATCTGTTTATATACAATTTACAAAATATAATAAATTTCTTATATAAAAATGTATATATTCATTTATTGTTACACACCAAGGCTGTGTTCTTCAACATCAGCTGAAAACGCTGCTCCTTTGTTGTTGTTTGAAACAGGAACATCAAATAGTCCTTTACATTCAGTCTTTGCACATTTCAGGTGTCCTTTATTGCAAAAGTGTCCATTTACTGAGGTAGAATTTTTTTTTTGTCCTCTTCATGACAAACCGAGAGCAAACAGGAGCTAAGTGCTCGTTCTGTGCTGCGGTAACGCATCAGTCCTGCTGTCGCCGTCGAACAGCTGTTCACAGATGCTGCTCTTCTGCTCCGATGTCGGGTCCGGAGTGAGATTTCTCTCCTCCTGGTCTGAGTCAATATCTGGGGCAACGTAAGGGTTTTCATGTGGAACTTTTACATTATGTGCCACCGATGGCGGGCTGATCCCGGTGTAGCTTTCATGCTGAGATCTCCAGGGTGTCTTCCCAAATGTTCCTGTGTCGAAGAAGATGCAAAGAGTCAAAAGAGTTCGCAGACAAATTGCCAAATGCTTGGAAAAGTGACTTATTGGAAACTTACCCATGAAGGTGTTGCAGGGAGGGATGAACTCATGAGGTCGGATGAAGTCGTTCCCATCCCCTTCCTCCACGGACGGTCTGCGGTCGCTTTGCTGGTGACAAGAGCCATGATGAAGACCGACGCTAGGGAACTGCATCAGGACGGTTGAAGAGCAGACGTCAAAATGTTCTGACGGGAAGTAGTCCCTCTTTTTTGACGCTGTCAGGCTTCCGCTGTAGGAGTCAACGCATTTAGGCCTTTGGTCCATGGAACAGCCTGGAAGAAAAATAATCAGAACTCTGAGTCTCTTTGGGAACCTGACGGACACTTCCTAGTCAACATTTCTGTACAGTATTTCATGGAACTGTACTATTTCTGTAATCACGGAACACTTTAAAAGCCGTGAACCGTACTAGTTGTGTAATCACGGAACACTTTAAAAGCCGTACACACCTGTGAAGACCTCTGAAGGATCAGTGGAGTACATGTTATCCCGGCGTAGCAGCGAGCCCATTGGTCCTTGATAATGACAAAGCAGAGGATCCATGGCTGCCTCCATGTCGGCTTCACTTCCTGTATCCAGTTGACAGAGGCCTGCGTGGTTGAATGAACAGTAGTTGGTATGAAAAGGTGACTTTGCTGCAAGATGGAATCTCCGAGAAGAAATATTTGGATTGGTGTTTTACCGTTCATGTCTTTAGGCGGCAGGTAGAAGCCCCCTAGTGACGGCGGCATGTACTGATGACCGCTGCTGTTCTCTGAAGGGATGTAGCCCTCTTGTCGGTCGGCCAGCGTGCCCTGGGACGACAGGTAGCTTGGAATGTCAGCGGGAAGGTTGGTCTCATCTGAAGCACAAGGACGTTGGATTAGGTCACAAATTTGCACTTGGAACTCGACCACAAACAATGACCAGGATCTCACCTGTGTTGGTGACGCTGCAGTCCTCGTTTCTCCTTCTTGTGTGGTAAATGATGACCACCCAAACTAGCGACGTGCCCACGACGCAGCACACCACTGCTATAATCACAATTCCCACAGTGGTCCACCCATCATCATCTGACCCTGAGCCAGACACCATGCCCACACCTGCGCTGCCCTGCAAACCAGGGTCACAGTTGGCGTTGGATATGACGGCCAGTCTGACGTTGCCTCTCTCGGTGCCCAGGGCATTGGACATCTCACAGGTGTACTTTCCAGCGTCTGCCTCCGCTGCATCAACAATAATGAGGAGCTGGTTGGCAGCTGCAAAGAAGTGGCGCTCAGTCACCACCAAGGGGCTGTCGTCCTTGGTCCAGTTCAGCTTTGGTGGGGGGCTGCCGCCGGCAATGCACTGGAGGACGGCGGTCTCACCCTTGGCCACAGTGCGATCCATGAGGGGCCGCAGGAAGGAGGGCGTTTCTATCAGAAAAATGGAAACAGTCCAGAAGGTGAACGTGGATTCTACAATAATCCTGTGTTCAATTCCTACTTGTTCTTAAGATCTCGACATTTCTCACCTAGGACAGTTAGCGTAGCATTTGCAGATATGGCTCCAGCTGTGTTCTGGGCAGTGCAGCTGTAAACGCCAATGTCTTCCGTCTTGACGTCCACTATGAAAAACACGTCGTCCTCTGGCATGACATGCATGCGGCGTTCCCGTGCGGCAGGAAAATCAGTTCCACCGTCTTTCTGCCAAGCAATCTGAGGAGAAGGGTGACCCACGGCAGCACATTCCAGTCTGGCTGTGGCCCCCGCCCGGATGCTTAGGTCCATTGGCATTTTGGTGAAGGAGGGGAGCACTGGATATGACAAAAGGATCGTTTTAACTCACGGAATCATTAGGACAAATGCCACATTGTTGGTTTGACCTTTTCCAAACTTACTGTTGACAGTCAGCCGGGCCTTGGTGGAGTAGGACGACCCAAAGTGATTGGAGATGACACACTGGTATTTGCCCTCACTGGAGAACTCCACGTTACGCAGCTGCAGGGTGGTCGTATACTCCGTCACTTCTGTCTCGCCTCCGGCTCCTCCTTGCACTCGCAGGTGGGCCTGGTTGTGGATCTCGGCGTCGTTCAGGACCTCGTTGTCCTTCTTCCAGGCGAACTTCATGGGTGAGTCACTGGAGCTGGCCGCTGAACAGACAAACGTCACATTGGAGCCCTTGAGGGCTGACTGGGTGTCTGGCTGAACCGTGATTTGAGGGTTTGGGAAATCATCTGAAGAACGAAAAAGAAAAAAGGAAAATAATTACATTTACCGTTTAGAATAAGCAGGATGTACAGTTTACAGAGCAGATTCTGGACTGTAAACGGTTTAAGGGTAAAGCTGGGACTAGAGGGAGGAAATTTGAATTTTACATTTTTCCTACACTGACCAGAGGAGCTAGAAAATAGTACTTTTAATAGTATTTTTACTATTTTTTTTTACTGTTTTTACTGTTTTTACTGTTTCCTCTCAAAGCTCATCAGTTATTTTTTCATACTGTTTCCTCTCAAAGCTCATCAGTTCCCTGAGGAATCTTAAGGAAAAATACTTAACAATCCTGTCAAATCAGCTAGTGAATGGGACTATATGTATATAATATACATTGGAGTGTCTGTGTATGTGTGTGTGTTTATGGGTGTTATGCCATATAAACGCATCACTCACCGCACACAAACTCATCCTGGCTGACAGCAAACACACTCCTGCCCTTGAGCATCTGCGGGTGGGCGCAGCTGGCGTTGACGCAGGGCAGGAAGGTTTGTTCAGCCACCCAGACGGGAAGCCACTTCAGCTGGCAGTCGCACAGCAGGCTGGAGGTGTTGAGACGCCTGCCAAGACGGAAGATAGCAGCAGCATTTAACTCACTCTGCTGCAGAAACAGCAGAAACTCAGAGCCTCTGTCAGTTTACAGCTTCTTTGGAATTCAATCATTTTGATCTGGTATATAAATGAGTAACAGCACACACTGACAGTGGGGGGGGCGTTAGACAGGAAATTGCCTTAGACATTGAAATGACAAAACATGAACCCAAAGAAAGTCCTAATTTTTTATGAAATAGTTCTGGAAGATGACATTTTTATTTCTGTCATTGGTCACTGGTTAGTTTAGTCCAATGACGTTAAAGGTTCTACTGTAGAAGAGGTTTTCAACTCTTCATCCAAGAGAGTTTTCAGTTATTTTCTAGATGTTGGAAAATCATGGTCATTTCTGTCATTGGTCACTGCTTAGTTTAGTCCAATAACGTTAACGCTATTTTCTAGATGTTGGAAAATCATGGTACACAGTCCATGAGTGTCTAAAAAAACAACATAGATGACCACATACTGACCCACCGGTCATAGTGTGAATGGGTGGAAGTGAATTAGATGTTTTATTGAAGGTTCTAAAAAAAAAAAAAAAAAAGAACTATTATTCTTCAATTTTGCTGAAAAAGGACCACAGGGTGAGTTCTGGTTGGGCGCCGACCCATAAATGTGTCCATGTAAAAGGTTTATATCGATCACAAAACATTCAATTACTAAACTTGGTGTCGGTTGACACGAAAGAAAACTGGACCCAAAGAGCGAGTTCAGTTTGACGGCCTTTGATTTCATGTTCTGTCCAACATGTGAAAACACTCAGCAACACTGATCCCTCAACGTGATCACACTCACAGCTCCTGCAGATTCTTCATCTGAGAGAAGGCGTTTGCTTGGATGGACATGATAGCGTTGTTACTCAGGTCTCTGTGGAGCAAAGGGAGAAGACGATGAGGGACTGGTGAGATTCTTGGAGATAAAGATAAGGCTTTTTCTGCCAACATGAGCTGTAAAGAGTGGAGCATCCAAAGACTGCACTAGAGAGAAGAAAAACGAGGTCTGGGCTCCAGAACAATAAAAATCTGGGCAGCAGTCTGCTGCGTTAATCAAGAGAGTCCTGACTCTGGGCTGCTTTGAGTTTCTGGCAACGACTCGGAGAAAACTCTAATTAGAATCAATTGCAGCTGTTGTAAACACACACTCCCACATATACACAGTCCACTCCACTTGTCTCTCTGATCGATAAAGTCTGGCACACATGTAAAGATACTAATGGAAGGAGTTTCTTTTTTTTCTTCTGGTTCCACATCAAAGCGGAGGAATTGGAGAAGAGAGTTCTGGAGCACGGCTCTGACAAACAGCCTCTGTGTCTCGGTGTGATTCACCCTGCTAGGTTTACAGCACAGCCCTTTGGAAACAATCAGTGAAACACGAGGTGGACTCACAGGTGCTGCAGCGCGTCCAGGCCCGAGAAAGACTTCTTGGTCACCGAGCGGATCTGGTTCCCTTGCAGAAATCTGGGAAAAACAACAAAACGACTGGTCACTTTCCAACATCGCTCCCAGGCTCCGGCTTTCTTGTGCTAATGTGCTGCATTAATGCAAACACGATGGCTGCGGTTAGAAGCTCACAGTTTCTTCAGATGTTCCAAGGCAGAGAACGGTCCGTTCATGTCCTCGATAGTCCACGAGATCTCATTGTTCTGGAGGTCCCTGCAAAGAAAAATACACTTTTATTAGAGATGCACAGATCAGCCAATCAGTGATCGGAATCAGACGATTTTTTTTTAATACATTAACGGCTTCATAGACGATAATTTCGTGCCAGCAGAACACGAAAACAAAGCTCACACACAAGCTGAAGCTAACATGTAGCTAGTTAAAAAGTATGTCACAGTGAGCCGCGAAGGCTAAGTCAGGTTTTTTTTTTTTTTTTGGATTGTACCATTTTAAGGAACGATTGCTGAGACAGAAAGAACTTTACTTTGAGACTTTGTGAACTGAAGAAGAACCTGTAACTGAGTGCAGTTTGTTGGATGAAAAAAAGGGCTTTGTGCTGGAGAAAACTTAAAACTTTTGCTTTTTTTTTATGTGCTGACAATAATAGAAACCAGAATGAGCAAAAACCAGAATTGGCAAGTCACAAAGAATCAAATTTACGAAAAATTGCAAAAACAAAACTTTGTACCATTAATACAAAGTAGGAAGAAAATGTTGGATTTAAAACAGCTTTGTGCCTCAAAGGGAGTCACTTCCCAGTGTTTGGGCCACAGTGATGCCAGGGAGTCTCTTCAGGGACACAGGGTATTGCGGCTAGAGCATAAGGAAGGAAGTGTGCGGGGGTAGAGGAGCGAGGACGGTGGGGTTGGGGGTTTGAGGCCCTAAAGCATTCCATGTTCTAGCTGCACACCTGCCTTATGGTTTCCTCAGCGGCACAGCTCACATTTGGTTCCAGTTAAAAACAGTTCCAACCAGGAGAAAAAGTGATTAGGTCTGTCTGTGGGAGAAGGAGGGGCCGAGTGAACTGGTGTGTGTGTGTGTGTGTGTGTGCGTGTGTGTGTGTGTGTGTGTGTGTGTGTGTAGTGGGGGTCAGTACAAAGCAGAGGTGGGGGTTGTTGTGGTTTGTGTTGTGTGTCGCAGGGTTTTTTAAATGTTAGTGTTCAGAGACCTCAACACACTGATGGCCGTGTGTTTCTCCTCAGAAAAACAAATCATGTGGAATATTTCCACTCAGGCAGAGATTCGACAGGAGCGAAACACAGCGGCCAACAAAGATTCAAATGGTTTTTTTAAAAAAAAAAAAAATTTCAGTGAAAAGCCAAAATTCACCTGTTTTCCACATTAAAACAGTTTATGTTCCAACCGTGGAGAAAAGAGAAATTGGTGCTCAATCAAAAATGCATCCAAATAATAATAATAAAAAAGCCAAGGCTGCATTTTAGTCGTGGAAAAACAAAACTCCCAGACTGGCTCTTCTTTGCCAAAGCACAACAATGTAATGGCAGTAAATAGTGTAATTACAACAGTGGAAATTCTTTTGTAACTTTAGGAAAACTCTTACATGACCAGAAAAGGTCGACAGACGAACGAAAAGCAAAGCAATTCATGGCATAAAGAGACGACAATTAACAATAATCCACCCTTTTCAGACATTTTCAGCTGCTTATCTGTTACCGGGTTGCGGGGCAGCAGTCGCCACCCAAATCACATTGCACCGTACCTAAACCTTCCTGTGGGTGGTGAGTCCACTGGAAGGTACCAACCGCCCAAACCGGGATTCGATCTTGCCCAGGAGGTGAACCCTGGGGTTCCACACCAATGACAGAGACATTGCCTCTGGGCCAAAGCGCCACTTTTTTTTAAATGATAAAGTCAAATTTTATCTCCACAAATCTCACATCCTTGACTAAATGGGATTTTTAAATCAAAACAACTGCGAACCAAAGAGACTTACAGCATCTGCAGGTTGGAGAGTCCACGGAAAGCTCCGTCTGCGATGAAGCTCACGCGATTGTTCCCGACATGGAGCTCGTCCAGCAGGCTGAGGTCTTCGAAGCTGGACTCCTCCAGTCGCGACAGATGGTTTGAGGACAAGTTGCTGCAGGGCGATAAAAAAAAAACCAGAACGACACGATCATCATCAAACACTCACTGTGGTCATTTCATGACAAAGAACGAGAGGAGCATTCTGTATTTAATTAATTCAAATGATACATTAAAAGTCAACAGATATCCACCTTCAAATCGGAGTGTTTTTTTTTTTTTAAAAAAGTAAACTCAGGTGAGAACACATCTGACTCATGGGAATGTTCCAAATCTGATAGGCCACTTGTTGACGATGTGCTTGGTGCGATAAGAGCGAGAAGGAGCGAGTGGGTGAGAGAAGGACGGCCTATCTGTAAAAAGCTCTCCAGACGCGGCAAACACTGAGGCGACTGCTGTGGTAAACAACTGCCACAACAAAGGACAACTGAGTTTCCTTCAGAGAGAGAAAAAAAAGTCAAGATTGAAGTCTGACGTCTGCATAGTTTGGATGTAAATGGAAAAAAAAAAACAAAAAAAAAACAGCCACTAATGATGGAATTTTTCAACCCAATCGGGAAAGAATTAAAAAATGCCGTCTTCCAGGGTCAGTGTTTTGGCTAAAAAGTCAGCAGAGCAGAAACGACGCTAAGGGGTGTGTGATATTTTGGCAACGCTTTAAAGATGGCATTGACCAGCAGAGCAGAAGAGACAGCGTTTTGTCTGCCCGTGTGTTTGTTTGTGTGTGTGTGTGTGTGTGTTCAGATTGGTCACCAGAGAATTTGGAGTGTTAGGAGGCCAGGAGGCAGAGGAGAAGCAGCAGGAGGAGAGTTGGGAGTAGAGAGTGTATTTGGAAAGTGAGGTGAGAATAATATGGAGGTTGGAGAGAGAGAGAGAGAGGGAAGAAAGAAAGATGGACTCACAGCTGGCTGAGTTTCTGGCAGAACTCCCAGGCCTCAGGTCGGATCCTGCTGATGGCGTTGTGGCTGAGGTGGAGCTGCTGCAGAGTCAGCAGGCCGTACAGCCAAACCTTACTCACCTCCGTTAGGTTGTTGAAGTCCAGCTGCCTGCAGGCCACACACACACACACACACACAGAGAGAAGAAAGAAATGAGAGTCTGACGTCCACCTGGAGTGAGAACCACTGCAGGACAAGGTTCCTTACAAGACTTCCATGTTGCTGAGGCCCCAGAAGGCTCCGTCCATCAGACGACTCAGGCCGTTTCTCTGCATCTTCAGGGAGCGAAGGGCGTGCAGGCCCTGGAACGTGAGGCCCTCCACACGGCGAACGCGGTTCCTGCTCAGATCCCTGAAACACGCAGCGCAAATGTAGTGTTTAGACTGTGATGAATTCAATACTTTTTTGTACGCCTCTAAAAAGAAGCGTGGTAAGAAACGTGCACACGCTCATCCGACTTACAGATGCTGGAGGTTGGGCAGCTGGAAGATCTTGGGTGGTATGGTGGAGAGGCGGTTGCGGTTGAGCCGCAGAACCTGCAGGCTGCTGGACAGGTTCGTGAAACAGCCCGACTCCAACGCTGAGATCCGATTGTTGTTGAGGAACCTGGAGCAGAAAGGATTTGAGTTGACCAGGTAGTGCACAACTGGAGGTGTGAATTATTGGAGTAAGGTTTTAGTCAATAGTAAAGTGATCCTCGAGAAGTTTAGGTTTAGTGAATCCAAATGTAGATCTCTCTGTTCCAATGATGTTAAGATGGAACAGCATTGTGCGTTTACTACGATGAAAGTTTGACTATAATAACGTTGTTGGAAAAAAAAAAACTTGATGTATGATCAAGCCTATAGTATCGCAGTAAATCCCAATATACTGTGTTATTGCCCCTGTACCGTGATACGTATCACGGTGATACGTATCACGGTGATACGTATCAAAGTGATACGTATCGTGGTGATACGTATCGTCGTGATACGTATCGCGGTGATACGTATCGTCGTGATACGTATCGCCGTGATACGTATCCCCGCGATACGTATCACCGTGATACCTATCGTACCGTGATACGTATCACCGTGATACGTATCGTACCGTGGTACGTATCGTACCGTGATACGTATCCCCGCGATACGTATCACCGTGATACGTATCACGGTACACGATACACCGCCCTCGTCCAAACACAGCCATGAACACTCACAGGTTCTTGAGGGGCAGAGCGGGGAAGGAGCTGGCCTTTATATCCACCATGTTGTTGTAGCTGAGGTCGAGTGTTTCCAGAGCGAGGTAAGGCCGTAGCTGCTCCACAGAGATCCTGCTGATCTTGTTGTTTGCTCTGAAAATACAGACAGCACCGCTCCAATAAATGACAAAAACACCGGGCATTCGAGCAGCGGCACGGATCTGACCCGGTGATACCAGGACACACAAACCTCCCAGTACCTCAATTATCGTGCAGCATTAAAAATATGACAAAACCAACAGGCAACACCTGCCAGACTGAAGCCCGACCGCCCAATGTGAACGTTTTCTTTTGGTATTTGCTGAGGCTGCAGGATGATTTCCCAGATTGTCGGGCCTGATCGATGCTGCTGCTGCTGCTGCTGCTGCTGCTCCTCACACCAAGTTCAAACAATCTCTGGTTTTGGAAATGTGTTATTTTGTTTATAAGGTAATTACTAACAAGGTATTTAAAAAAGTAACCTGCCAATTACTTGGCTGATGAATACCATTCCCCCAGTGAAAGCATGCCTCGGCAGAGGCCAGCAATTTCCTGAGCTGCACGCCTCCTAAATTGCAGTGCAGGGACTGCTTAGTTATAAACAGAGTTTGTACAGTGCCCTCTTTGTGTATGAGCCGCGGCAGTGAAGAGCGAGAGAGAGAGAGAGAGAGAGAGAGAGAGAGAGAGAGAGAAAATGGGGGGGAGGAATTCCCTCCCTCGCC